CGCTGCGTTTCCATCACAATGACAGTTTATGACTGTTCAGTAAACCATTCGGCCCGCGATTTAGGCTGGATTTTAGATTTTGGCCCCTTCTCTGATTGAGTTCGACACCCCTAGTCTAGTGTATTTTTAGAATAGCATTTTCTTTAGAAAGGTTAATCCATTGAACAGAACACAGATATTTGTAGTACCTGTGTAAATGCATGGTGATAGAGCAAGAAAAAGAGAAGAAAGAAACAGAGGCGGAGAAAGAAGGACAAGGAGAAGAAAAATTAGAAAAGAAGAGCTGAAACCGGTTTGGCTCAATAGATAGAGCATCGGCTTGGGGATTGAAAGGTCCCAGGTTCAATTCCAGTCAAAAGCATGTACCTTGGTTGCGGGCATAACCCCAGTAGGGGGTGTGCAAGAGGCAGCTGATCGATGACTCTCTCTCATCAATGTTTCTAACTCTCTATCTCTCTCCCTTTCTCTCTGTACAAAATCAGTAAAATATATTAATTTAAAAAAATCAGAAAAGAAGAGGAGGAAAGAAGGAGAGAAGGCAAAAGAGAGAGATAGGAAGACAGAGTGGGTGGGCACAGCGAAGCAAGGACAGGCTAGGTGCATGAGGGTGAGCAGGGACACACGGTTTTGTGCCCTGGGTCTCTAGTGTATATATGTTTCTATATCTCTAGGTAGGCTTGGTAAAAATATTCCACTGCTCTTTTACATGCAATATGGAATATTAAAGAGTTATATGTCCTTTTTAAACACTGCAAAACTTCTGCCAATGCCTCTTGGCCTCTCTTTTTGCAATTTCTTGTTCTGTATTACTAGTCTTTATACTACCTTCAAAATGATGGCCCAAAAAGAGATTATAATTCATTGTCGATTCAGTTATCTATTGTCAAGTCAAAGTCATGTTCAAACTGGGTACTTCATTATCTTTAACTTCTTATATATATACCACCCTCAACTATAATATAGTCAACTTCAGTTTCATGAGTCAAATTTATATTGTTCATACTTTCATGTCAGTAAAGAACTATTTAAATTACATTTTTTGACACTTTGGAGTGTGAGAACATTTATTTATACTCACAAAATACAAATGCTCGTTGATTGATCCTAATAATTCTAACATTGCTTTGAGATAATGGTTGTGGTTAGGAACCATACGTTTACTCCTTGAACAGAGCCCACACAAAGTTGTTTTTCTGAACTGATTCCTTTAGTCTCCTAAGTCAACGGAAATGATAACGTACACACTATATTTATATTCTACTTTTAAATGCTCAGAAACTTCTCTATAATTGTCACAGCATTTGTTTTGTAGATCTTTATGATATAAAAATATACCTTAAAAGTTATCATTTGGGGGCTGCAAATTACAGAAAAAGCAAAAACAAACAATAATTCTGGAAGTTGAGCAACCCCAGGCAATGCTAATTCTGTGCTTAATAAGAACATAGCCTCCAGCTCTGTCTTCCTCAGAATGTCAATCCTCAGCAAGTAGCTCCAAGATGGCAGTGCCATTTCAAGGTGTCACAGGCAGAGGAAAGGATCAAGAAGCAGATAAAAGAACATCTGTCTTTTATCTCCTTCAGGAACAAGAAAATCCTTCACCGATTGCTTTCTGTGAACTTTTCTGTACTTCTGAATTGCCGTAATTTTTCTCAAATGTTCTTGCCTAAAACAATCATTCACCAAGAGAAATGAGACTACTGTTTTTGGTTTAAAAAAAAAAAGTTTTATAAGACAGGCAGAACACTGTTGAAAGATACGGCAAATTGGAGACTAAAAATCACATTGAAGTTTTAATAGCAAGAAAGATGTCTAGGAGATGTTTATGAATGCCCAAAACAAAGGCAACTCTGGCAATTTTCCCTTAGGTTCCTTTATTTTTTACTTGAAAACTTTTATATGAAATTTTGCTTACTAAATTCTATCAAATATTAGAAGCTAAGGATGTTTTTCACCCTAGATGACAATGTAAGATTTTTTAAAATCTATATTCCAATTTAAATTCACAATTTTTCCAGTGAGATATAATTAAGATTTATCCAAGGATATTTTGGCTTGCTCTGAATTCTATAGACTTATCAGAACATATCACTTTTAATAAAATGAGGCAAGAATTAATTTCTCTAGTATCTCCCATATATGCCATTATTGAAAAAATTCCTGGTTAAATTTGTATCAATAATCACATGGCTAATGTTACAATAGGCTTGGAATCTGTATATAATGCTCTTGGATAGATGAACTCTTCTGAGTGTGATTATACATAGACGGTGTAAGGAATTTTATTTTTAATGTGAGCATTAATTTTTCTTCATTCAGTTTATCCATCCATAGAAATAATAATAATATATACTAAATAACTGACATGCTTAGTGATACATTACCTTTCTAGGACAACTAATAATATCTGACCTGCTGGCACTCTATATATAATTTTCATTTTACAATAGTCTCCAAAAACTAGGATCAAAGTCCTGCTGCTATCACTAGGAATGTCATCCATATCTTGTAATTTAAATATATTGAAATACTTGCACCGTAATGCCATGGAAAATAATTGTGTGGTTTTTTTCAAGATATTTAGGTATGATGTAGGTGCTAGTCATTGATATTATGCATACTAGTATCTCATACCATGAAAGCATTCTAATAAACCTGAAATTTTATGGCTTACTAGAGTCTTTTTTAACAATACATACTCTGAATAAGACATTAATAGATAGGATGACAATGGGAGATGATGCTAATTTCCTTTTTAAAATAAATTGTGTGCTCATCTAAAATATTTTATGGTTTTAATATAATAGTGCACTTGTGGAATGAGAAAACTAACCAAGAATAAATGTAATTCACAGTGGTGCATTAATTTGTGTCTTATAAAGCACAGCATTATATATTTTACTTTGTGAGCCGTAGAATGAGGATATTTTCCAATTGCCAAAAGCATTATTTTATAATATATCTTAGAAGAAGTGTAGGAAAAGATACTCTTATTTCCCCTTTTCGGTGGTATCATACACATAAAGTGTATATATCTGAAATGTGTAGCTCATGTAACACTACCCGATCAAGACTGTAATTACTATTCAAGAAGGATAGTAATTCCTCATGTCAAGTCCCAATCACAATCATACCCAATTATAAACATTAACCTGACTTCTAACACCAAAGTTTAGCTTTGTCTATTCTTTTTTTTTAAATATATTTTTATTGATTTTTTTACAGAGAGGAAGAGAGAGAAATAGTTAGAAACATCGATGATAGAGAAACATCGATCAGCTGCATCTTGCACATAATATATATATATATATATTATGTGCAAGAGGGGATGTGCCCACAACCAAGGTACATGCCCTTGACCAGAATCGATCCTGGGACCTTTCAGTTTGCAGGTCGATGCTCTATCCACTGAGCCAAACTCATTTCGGCAGCTTTGTCTATTCTTTACTTAATATAAATGCACTCATAAAACATGAACTCTTCTTTTATCTCACTTCATTCGCCAAGACTGAATCTATGAGATTCGTCCACAATGTGAGTATTCCAGTAGTTTGATTTTTTTCATTGCTTTGCAGAATGCCAAGATCGAAAGATATCATAATTTACTCATTCTGCTCTTATTAGACATTTGAGTTATTCCCAGTTTGAAGCTACTAAGAATAAAATTTCTATGATCATTCTTTAACATCTGTTCTGATGCATTTCTATCAAGCAGTGACTAAGGAATATAATTGTTGATTCCAAGCATATTGATGGGTACTGGTATGTTTTAGAAAATACATGGGAGGGAGCACAGAGCGGAGACTAAGCATAGATCTTGCAGTCAGCTCAAAAATCTAATTTGAAGTATTTTGTATTAATCTAAGCTGACCATTGTCATCATTTTCTGGAAATATTTAAAACAAAGAAGAATATGCCAAGTAAGCTTACCCATGGGTTTGATCCAGTCATGGAAGAGCTCAAACTTGGCAGAGTCAACACCTGTCAGTTATGACTTAAGTTTAGTCCGAGTCTGAATGACTTTTGGTTACAAATGAAGGAGCAGAAGGAAATCAATGCAAAGTTTTTTGTGATGTAAAATCCATTTTCCAATTCAGGCTCAGATAATAAGATACTTCAGAAAAGTGTTCCCTTGTATTTTATGCCTTTTTTTTTTTCTTCACAATTTTACTGCCTATGCAGGACTAGCGATGACAGATCATTTTGTGGTCTAAACTCTTGTTTTGTTTTTCATTTAGGTCCAGCCTATGCTAGGAAGAGAGAGATGTAATTTTGAAAATTTATCTTCTGGGCACTGATGAGTTTGCTAAGCCATGTCCTGCATTTTTAGGATAGAAATCAAGATTGTCAATGAGTTAAAAATTAGGTAGCAAGAACATTTCAATCGTTTTTGGAATAGGAGGAAAATCAAAGCTGATATTTCTCATGGATAATTATTTCTTTTTATAGATATTTTTCTTTTTATTCTTGTAATACCACATGAATGGTTCATGTAAGTTTTTGCAACTGAGCAAAAATAACTCTGCCTATGATGCTGTGTTAATTTTCATTATCTTCATTTATCTCCAGGATTTAGAAGATTTGATTATTTCAAATTTTACAGCCTCCAAGATGCTCCCCCAATGATTCCTGCCTCTTGTTATTCATGCCTACATATAGTCTTCTCACATTCTCAACAGTGATGGCAGAAGTGATGGTATGTCACTTCTGAGGTTGCTATAAAAGACTAGAGACTCAGTGCACAAAATTCATGCACTCCCTGGGGAGAGATGGAGGGAGTGTTTCCTAACCCAGCCTGCACCCTCTTGCAGTCCAGGAGCCCTTGGGGGATGACCAATTGATGGCCATCCTTAGTTCTGTCATGGAGGCAGAGAGGCTCCCACCACTGCCACTGTACTTGCCAACCTTGAGCCCGGATTCTGGTTGAGTGGTGCTTCCCCTGTGGGAGCACATTAACCACCAGGGGGTAGGTCCTGCATTGAGTGGGATTGGGCCAAAACCAGCTCTCTGACATCCCCTGAAAGGTCCTGGATTGCAAGAGGGCACAATGCCAGGATAGAAGGAATCCCAACAATGCAAAATTGGGGCCAGGGAGGGGTGAGGGAGGTTAGCCATCAGGAAGGGACTGCAACAGGGCTTTAGGGTATGTCTGGCCCATCTTGCTCAGCCCCGATTGGCCAGACCCCAGAAGCAAGCTAATCTACCAGATGGAGTGTCTGCCTCCTGGTGGTCAGTGCACTCCATAGTGACTGATCCACAGGTCAACTGCCCCCTGGTGGTCTGGTGGTCAGTGCATGTCCTACCAAGCAGTTGAGTGGCCTTAGCATATCATTAGCATATTACACTATGACTTGTTGAACGGATGACTAGACTACCAAACACTTAGCATATTAGGCTTTTATTAAATAAGAGTGCTTTCTATCCTGGGCATTTTTTTTTTTTTCTATTCCCCCTCTCTTGGATCCCTCACTTTGGGGGAAGCTGTGTTGCGAGCTTACAGTGGAGACACATGTGGTGAGGAACTGCAGCCTCTGTCAGCAGCCATGTGAGTGAGCTTGGAAGAGTATCCTGCAGACCCTGTCTGCTGGGGATGGCTGCAGTCCCAGTAACACCGTGAGGCTCTGAGAAATCCTGACCCAGAACCACCCAGGTGAGCCTCGCTTGGATTCCTGACAAACAGAAACTGTATTTGGCAGCCCCTGGGAGGGCATGCCACAAGTGATGTTGTTCAGAGAACATGATTTTAATTGAGTACCACTGTTTACCAGATGTGTGACCCCAGTCAAGATGCCTAAGCACTTTTGAGCTTTTTTCCCCATATATGAAATTAGAATAATATTAACATGCTTTGATGTTGTTCTAAGGATTGAGTCTATACATATATGTACTTCATAAGCATTGAACATTAATAGTTGAAAAAATAAATGATAGTAGCTAACCATTTTCTTAATAATGATTTTATAAATTTTTATTCTCACAGTATTATAGTAGACTCTGTTACTCCAAATCCTCAACAACTTTTGGTATTTTCAGTCTTACTTATTTAGACATTCTGATGGGTGTGAAACATTTGCATATGTTTTTTTTTTTTAACTATTTGATAGCTTACCAGGAAACACATGCTCAATTCCTTTTACCCAGTCTGTCTTTTTCCATTGAGTTATAGTAATATCTCTTGGTGTGGGTGTGATTTTCCTTATCACCTCCCTAAATGATCAAATCTTTGAAAATAGGAAGTTTTTAATGTTAATGAAGCATAATTTATCAGTGTTTTGTTACAGTTATTTTTATTCTGCTCTATTTAATAAATTTACCCATACAAGAAGTTAACATAGAAGTTCCATCACTTTAGCTTTAATATTTAAGTCTATGCACCATCTAATCTTGTGTGGAAGGAGAAATGAGTACAATTATTAAATATTTTTAATCAACGGGTACAGTTAATTAAAAGGAGCATTCTGTCTTTTGGCTTTTAGATGAGAAAGCTTAGGTGCAACTTTCTTGGGTCTTTACAAATGCAGCTTCATCTGACACCAACTATCTCAAACTGTGCTAGTGAAGTTTGATCCCAATGAGCACAATGGGAAGTCACTGCCATGTTGGCCTGACCCCCAAGATCAACCTCAAATCTGTCTTCAAAAAAGATTGGTGATGACATTGCCAAAACAACCGATGATTGGAAGGATTTGAGATTACAGTAAAACTGACTATTCAGAACAGAAAGGCTCAGACTGGGGGAGGAGAGGACCTTTTGCCTCTGTCCTGCTTATCAAAGCCCTCAAAGAATCACCAAGAGAATACACAATGGTGCTGGGGAAATTGGACAGATATACGCAAGAAAATGAAACTAGACCACCAACTTACACCGTACACGAGAATAAACTCATAAAAGACATAAATGTAAGTCATGAAACCATAAAATCCTAAAAGAAACCATAGGCAGCAAAATCTCACACATCGTTTATAGCAATATGTTTGCAGATACATCTTTTAGGGCAAAGAAAACTAAGGAGGAAAAAACACACAAATGGGACTAAATAAAAATAAAAAGCTTCTTCACAGCAAAAGAAACCATCAACAAAATGAAAAGGGAGCCCACTGTATGGGAAAACATATTTGGCGATGATACATCTGATAAAGGTCTAATACTAAAATACATAAGGAACTCATACAACTTAACAAAAGGAAGACAAACAGTCCAATTAAAAAATAGGCAAAGGACCTAAACAGACATTCTCCAAAGGAGATATACAGATGGCCAAGAGACATATGAAAAAAAAAAAAGTTGTCACTAAGCACCTGAGAAATGCAAATTAAAACGACAATGAGGTATAACCTCACACCTGTCAGAATGGCTACCATCAACAAATGAACAAATGACAAGTGCTGGCAAGGATGTGGAGAAAAGGGAATCCTGGAATACTGCTGGTGGGAATGCAGACTGGTGCAGCTACTATGGGGAACATTATGAAGTTTCCTCAAAAAATTAAATATGGAGCTGCCATTTGAATCAGTGATTCCACTTCTAGGAAAATATCCTAAGAAACCTAAAATACCAATCAGAAAGAATGTATGTACCCCTGTGCTCTTAATAGCACAATTTACAATAGCTAAGATCTGGAAACAGCCCAGTGCCTATCAGTAGATGAATGGATAAAAAACCTATGATATATTTACATATTGAATACTATGCAGCTATAAAAAAAAAAAAAAAAGATCTCTTACCTTTGAGACAGCATGAAGGGACCTGGAGAGTATTATGCTAAGTGAAATAAGCCAGTCAGAGAAAGACAAGTATCACAAGACCTCACTTATATGTAGAACCCAATGAAGAAAATAAACTGATGAACAAAATAGATCCAGAGACATAGAAGCATGGGACAGACCATAGAATTTCAAAGGGAAGAAAGAGTTGGGTGGGTGGATGGGAAGAGATTAACCAACAAACTTGTATGCATAACCCACAGACACAGACAATAGGATGGTGGGGCCTGAGGTGGGTGGTGGGGCAGGGTCAATGGGAGAAAAAAGAGGACACGTAATTAATACTGTCAACAACAAAAAAAGATACTTATAAAAATACTTATTTATTAAAAAAAAAAAAAAGATAATCCCACCTGCTATTATAGTTCTGTAGGTCAAAAGTCTTGCATGGGTGTCAAAATGACAGCAGGGCCCTGTTTCTTGTTGGGGGCTCCTAGAAGAAAATACAGATCCTTGATCAATTATGGTCAGAATTCAATTCCTTGCAGCTGTTTGACTAAAACTCCTACTTTCTTATTGGATATAAACTAAGGACCATTCCCAACTTCTAGAGGCTGCCACACTTATCTTGTAGGTTCCTTGTTTGCCCATCAAAACCAGCAATGGTGAGTTCAGTCCTTTTCACATCACATCTTTCTGACTCGCTCCTCTCCTTCTTCTTCCACTTTTAGGCAATCATATGATGAGTTTGGGCCCAACCAGGTAATGCAGAAAATCTCCCTACCTCAGTGTCTTTAGGCTTAATCACCTCTGTAAATCCTTTTTGCCATATTAGCTAAATGGTCTGTAGATGAGGGGTCGGGCATCTTTACCAGTGAGGGAGGTGTTTTTTTGTTGTTGTTGTTGTTTTTGGTTCATTTTATTTTTTTGTCTAACAGGGAAGCAGTAGGTAGGATCATTAAAAAACAAACAAACTTTTATCTGAGACAAATTTTAAAGGATTTTAAGATTTCCCCGAGAAAAGAAATAATAGTTTAGCATGAACCTTTAAGAGAGAGATTTGTGACTTAGAAAAAAAAGAAGTGACAGTTTTGAAAAGATGTCTTCAGTTTAGCAAGTGATGTAGATGTCATGAAAGGCTGAAGAAATTATCAGGAAAATAAATTTCCTATGCCACATCTACACATTTGAGATTTACTAATATTCTAAATGTAGTAGAAAGTCATGGAAGCATTTAAAGTAACAAAACTACAGCATGTGTACATTTTATAAAAATGGCAGCAACCTGGAAAAGAATTTCAAGGATGGTAAAAGCTGAAGAAATAGAGAAAAATTAGGAAGATAAAGTAATAAAGGAGAGGAGAAATGGTATCAGCTGATTCTAGACAAGTGAGGGTAATTATGTTGACCAGGCGAAGGATTCTAATGATATACAGCAAGTGTAAGTGAGAAAACTTGACAACAAATTGGGTGTGGGGAATAAAGTAAATGGGGGAGGAAGAATGAGTTCAAGAATTCTAGCTTTGAAAGTTGGGGCCAGGAGATCTAGTGTGAACTCATGTTCCTTTAAATGTATGCCCCAAGAACTGCAGTAAGCCTAGAAAGGCTTATTTATTCTGTGATATACTGGGCCTCATTGCCCAACACTGAAACTTCAGTTGGAACTGAAAGTTTAAAAACAATATAAAGATGTGGCTCAGTCCTTATAAAATCCATACAATTGCTGCTCCTGATTAACTCTAAATTGACATAAAATATAAATTTTTAATTGACATACAAATTCAGTGTGTCAAGAGTATAAGAATCTTGAAGTTTAAAAACAACAGAATATAGCCCTACCCAGTTTGGCTCAGTGGATAGAGCATCAGCCTGTGGACCAAAGGGTCCCGGGTTCGATTCTGGTCAAGGGTACATACCTTGGTTGCAGGTTTCTCTCTGGCCCAGGCCACGATCTCATGCAGGAGGCAACCAATTGATGTGTTTCTCTCACATCAGTGTTTCTGTCTGTCTTTCCCTCTCTCTTCCACTCGCCCTAGAAATCAATGGGAAAATATCCTTGGATGAGGATTAACCTAAATAGATTTTTTTTTAAGTTATATAGATATATTTCATAACGGAAAAATTAGTTGGAAATTATTTTAAAATATATTTTTCCATCTTCTGCATTTCTAGATGTATTTTAATAGAATAACTGTACTTTAGCCCATGAAGAATCCTCATGATTATCCTTACAAAATAATTCAGATGTTATTTTCCTTTCTGTCACTAATCTCTACTACAAGTAACAAGGGCTCCTTGGAGGATACTTGTATTCATGGCTTTGAAAAGAAAAAAGAAATGAGCTTGGAGTACACTTTTGTCACTGCTTAACATTTAGGATATTTCAAGGATGTCTTTCAAGGAAGACATCTTAAAGGAAGTCACTGGCCAAGCTGTAATAATGAATTTGACAATAAAATATTTAAAATTATTATGGTAATTTAGATACATTTGAGTTCATTAAAATCCATGAGTCCAAAAGAGAAAAGCAATATAAAATACAGAATAATGGATATACTTATATAAGATTAAATGATGGCAATAATAAAAGTCATATCTTTAATTTATTTTCTCATAGAGGATTTTATCATAGATTTACTTATGAAACATATAAGCATATATGTATATACATACTTGCACATAAGTTTTGATAAACAAAAAAGTACAAAAACAAAAATATCCAGAAAAAAATATCTTCAAAAACTTATGAAACATACTAAGAACATGAAGGTTAGAAGTGTGTCCAAATATTTACTCATATTAGTAGCAATACCAAAGGACCAATTAATTAAAAGATCAAACAGTCACTATTTCAAAAACATAAATGTGTCAAATGTTTCAAAAAAAATCTTGTGTAGACATGATTTTTTACTCAAAAAATTTTAAAAGGTCTAAATTGCTTTACACATTTTAAAAAAATACTATTAAGCTATACCTAAGTTTCCAATCAAACCAAGAAATAATTTTAATATATTATACTAGATTACTACATTATTTTTAGGAAAGTTAATGAAATTTCACAATGTAACATTTATATGAAAGACAGACATAAAACCCCATGATATAAAAATTAAAGCTTCATTGCATTAGGAACATTTAAAGGCTCAAGCTAATATTGAATGCCTTAATTTGATATTACCTCCTTGGACTGAGCACCTATATCTTGAGTCTTACCCAATAAATCAACTCTCCAGCAATTATAAATTTATAACTTAAGTGTGCTCTTCTCATTATTAATCTTGAAAGAAAACTAAAGTAAATGTAAAAATACATGACATAATCAATGAAACCCCAAAACTATGGGGAAATAGCAATTAAATGAAGCTGTAAAGATAAGATTCAAACAAGTTTGTTTAAGAAGCATTTGGAACTTTGAATTCCTGTCTTCTTAATTTAGAGTGACTGTGCTCTCCTCAGCATCCGTTTCCCTACATTGGCATTTGGGAAAGGCCTAGGTGTCCAGGTTCTGGTGTCCACAAAATGACGCTAGGATAAGTCCAGTCTCAGTTACTCTATCGAAGTGGTCCGCAAACTGTGGCTCATGAGCCACATGTGGCTCTTTGGCCCCTTGAGTGTGGCTCTTCCACAAAATACCGAGTTCAGGCACACATGTACAGTGCGATTGAAACTTTGTGGTCCATGCGCAGAAGTCGGTTTTCGGCCTGGGGGAGTTTATTTTAAAGAAGTAGTGTTAGAAAACTCACGAGGCCAAAAGAGCCACATGTGGCTCTAGAGCCACGGTTTGCCAACCACTGCTCTATCTAATGGCAGATTTTGTTCCATACAACTTTGCAAAATTATCTAACAGGATCAGTGCATAGGCTATGGCCTCCACGAGTAGACTTTTCACTTCCCTATTTGGATTAGTAATCTAGTTTTGCAGGAGGGTCCTGAGAATTTCATCCCATGTGTGTGGCGAGGTCCCAGATAATTTCAATTTCTCGTACAATGGAAAGCTAGCTCTTTGACCCTTTCATTTTCTCTCTTCACCTTTGCATATTTAAAGACAATTCTCCATAAATGTGCCCCCTGTTTGCCTACAGTGTGAACAGAGCCTCTGGCTACCATTTGGGGGTGAGGGGTGGTGGGGGGCGGGGGGTGGAGCATGGGGAGGGATTATTTGAAAGATAATCCTTCCAGAGCAAATGAGAGGCATACTTGTTGTCCGCTTTAAAGGATTTGGGTTTCTTAAGAAAATGCTTCACCACCTTTTTCATATAATTCAACCCATTGTACGTGGCAAGGTCATTTGTCTCTTTCTTTCATCACACCTTAGAAATATGGTCTTCTAGAACTTGTGGGAGCACTACTACTGAGTGACTAATTACTTTGCCTTTGTCCTAGACAGCGGTCGGCAAACTGCGGCTCCTGAGCCATATGTCGTTCATGAGCCGCGGTTTGCCGCTCTGTTGACTAATGGGTTTGCCGACCACTGCGTAAGGGATTACCCTTACCTAGAAGTTTTGACTTCAGGTTTAAAACATTAGTACAATATTGTAATGTTTTTTAAGTGTTTTTCCCTAAGGCAGTGGTCGTCAAACTCATTAGTCAACAGAGCGGCAAGCCGCAGCTCACCAGCCGCGTGTGGCTCGCGAGCCACGCTTTGCCGACCGCTGTCCTAGGAGGACCATGTCTTTGAACAGCATCCATAAAATTGTAAGAGGCTGACTTTAAAACTTGCACAGATGATGACATTCCAGACCCTTCACAGTACAGTATATGACAGTTTTGGCAATTGGGATGGGATGCTGACACAGCTTTATGGAGAGGAAGGATGAGGCCTGCTGAACCGATTAACAGAATTTCAGGGAAGTCCATGGAAATCAATACTGCTAACACTGACCAAATTACGTTGTTATTCAGTCAATAAATGGTCCTTCACCAGTTGCCTGTTAATGAGGAAGAAGTAAGAGGGTAATTGCAGGCTGAGGACTTGGAAACAGATTGAAAGGCAGCTGCTACCTGATGTGCCCCAGTTATTGCTAACCATCCTTTCAGTGAACTTTGTCATGCCTGTGGCAGTAAGCCTGAGGTCTTTCTGGTTGGGCAGAAATTTCTGATCCCTTTCAGATGAAAGTTACAGGAACATGCACCTACTCTAAGCATAAAACCGTACAATTTGCAACTGCTATGTGCAAAACCAAATGAAACATTAGAACTTTGGGTAGTTGACTTGAAAAGAAAATGAGTATAGTGCTCATTAAAGAATTACTGTATCACCTGCACAATTTTACAGCCCAGCTCCTCCTGTAGTATATATCAAGCCAACCCTAGTCCGTTTGGAGACAGGAAAATATATCAGAGATTTTTGCAATGGGTCCTGGCTGTTACAAAACTGCTGTTAGGCCCTATTGGGGAGAGTTCCCTGACACAGACAAATTCCCTTATGAAGCAATTGATAAGACACTGACTAGGGTTCATGATAAGAGTCTGTTCTCTATTGAGACCTACTGCAATCAAGCTGCGGATCAAGTCTGCATCTCACAGATTGTCATTGTTGATGGCTGGATCCATCCTCAGATTAGACATGAAAACACATCTATAATAATAAAAGCATAATATGCTAATTAGACTGGAAGCCAGGGCTGCGAGGGAAACCCATGTCCTGGGTGCCAGAGGGAAGCTGGTGCCAGCAGCCAGGGGAAGGAAGGTCTACTCTTGCATGAATTTCATGCACTGGGCCTCTAGTATACTATAACAGACTGGGTATAAATAAAGGACTGTTGTCCTGATGTAGAGACTATGACTGTATGCCAGATTTGTAACTCTTACCAGAAATTGATCCATTGGTAGTTCAATGAGAGTGGTAAAATCAAATGAGGCAATCAATCGTTCAAGATGCTGCCAAGAGATTAAATCAAACCTTTGGCCCACTCTCAGGGTGAAGTTTTGTTATGGACTGGGACACCATGATTTCATGGTATTGGAGGGAGAACAACAACCTCAATACCTAAGGAGTATAGGGGAGGGAGTAATCTTTCAGATATAGCTATGGAGATACTGGTAGGATATTTACGCCATTGCAGCATATTTTCTTTTTAAAACTATATTACTTTTCAATCATAGCTTACATTCAATATCATTTTGTTTTAGTTTCAGGTGTAGCAATACACTATTTTCAAACTGTCCCTTCCTCACAAAGAGGAATGCTATGCTGGGTAAGGTGACCCGAGTGGGACAGTCCCAATTCTTAACAACGTGTCCCTCGCCTCTCGGCGTTTTAAAGAGTCCCGATTTTCGCGGGACAAATTGTTGAAAATCAGGACTGTCCCGCCAAAAGCGGGACGTCTGGTCACCTTAATGTAAACTGACAGGCTCCTTAAATTTAACTCCCAAACAGGTTTGCCATTCCCCTCAAGGTGGCTCCAGTTGTGATTTAATAATTACTGTGTTTCTTATCATGGCCAAGAGGGTTTTTTTGTTTTGTTTTGTTTTTTTTTTTTTTTAGAAAAATCGGAGAATGTTCCAGGATTCTGCACTTCTGAGACAAAACACCTGCCTGTGTTTCCACAGGTCTGCCCCATCTTCATTCATTTCCCATGGCAGTACTGTCAACCTGTACCCCTGACTGATGCAGATTCCAAATGAGACACAGACAGTTGTAAATATTTCAGCTGAAAAATCCAGAAGCCTGAGATTCATCAATGTAAACTCCCTCCTTCCTCTACATCCAAGTTCTACCAATTGAACCTTATTTATTACTTTAGATCAGCCGCTCGTTTTACAAAGCTTGATTGAGGGCAGCCAGCATAGCACTGGCCTCTATTATTCCGGCCTCGTTGCCCTCGGTCTATCCTCCGTTCTCAAAAAAAAAAAAAAGAATTTCTTCCTGCCACTACTTTCTGCTACTATTCATTAAGAGTTCCAAATATCATTAAGAATAAAAGATGAGATCCCTGGCATAGCCTGCAACATCCTTTATGACCTGGCATTGAACGTATTCAGAATTATTCTTCCGATTCCAAATACCTTTTCCATAGACTCAAGTACAAGTATACTATGCACTTACTCATTCTCACAGCTCCCTTATACATCATGCTGCCTCCACTTCTCGCCTTCCTTCTGGTTGTCCCTTCTGTGAGATTTTTTTTTGTTCATTGCATAATTCATAAACTGTCTTGAATGTTAAGATCCTTTTATTCTCTACATCCCATTTCACTCCTGATTGAAATCCTTCTCAGGAATTGGATCGGTTGCTCACTGATGTGTTCCCACAGCACCTCATACATGACTTTATTGTAGTTGCTATCACTCTACATGGCATTATTTTATTATTTGTCATATCTCCAAACAAACAATGAGCTTCATGCAGTCTGAAGCTACCTTTGCAAAGCACCAACCAATAAACCTCAAACTCAATCTAAATACTCAATGCAAGTTTGTTGAATAAAGTAACAAATTAATGTATTCCACATAACTATTTTAACTATTAAAAATTGTATAATGATAAGGTCAATTAAACATAAATTGAAAATAGCCGAAACCGGTTTGGCTCAATGGATAGAGCGTCAGCTTGAGGACTGAAAGGTCCCGGGTTCGATTCCGGTCAAGGGCATGTACCTTGGTTGCGGGCACATCCTCAGTAGGGGGTGTGCAAGAGGCAGCTGATCGATGACTCTCTCTCATCGATGTTTCTAAACTCTCTATCTCTCTCCCTTCCTCTCTGTACAAAATCAATAAAATATATTTTTAAAAAAATAAAATAAAAATAGTTTAAAATAGCCATTTTGAGTGAAGATAATTTAGTTATTATTTTATAATGCTACCGCTTTAATATTTCTTAGATTAAAAAAAATTACTTGTAAAAGCATAGCTCTAACCTTTATGAGCACATGAATAATGAATACTCCATTAACACACAATTAGCAGCTGGGTTTTCAGATTAGTTAGTTGTCACACTGAAAAGAGTACAGATCTCAGATTAGGGAATGCTTAGCAGATAAGAATAAATGTTGAACAGATCTTCACAAAATATTAAGAGATTCACTGGGTTGTCGTGGAAACAAAGGGAGCAGCATAGAGTGAAAGAGAAAGGAAACGAATGAGAGATCAAAGCACTTAGATGACAGAAAAAGATTTTTCTGTGTCACGTACTTCTGCTCTGTATTCTAAAGCTTCAGAGGAGCGCCATGATTAAAAGAATAGACTAATGGAGTGACTGAGGTTGTTTCCTTATCTTTGTTCACAATAGCGAATAATGCTGCAATTAATAGAGGAGTGATCTTTCTGAGGTCATGACTTCATTTCATTTAAATATATTCCCCAAAATAGTAGGAGTGTGAGATTCAATAAATGAATGGGAAAAGAAGATATATATGTGTATATACATATGGTATATGTAATGTATATATATATATATCATGTACATATATAATAAAAGCATAATATGCAAATCAACCAAATAGCCAAACAGCAGAATGACCATCTGGGTAACCACACTATGACACACACTGGTGCCAGGCCAGCCAAGGCGGTTGCATGCGATTGATCCGGGGTCCCCACCGTTGCCTGTAGGAACTGGGAAGGGGGGGTAGCAGTGGACACTAGCAGCACCAGGCCAATACAGGTGCGAGCAGGGGGTGGGGCTGTGAAGCCAGCAGCCGGGGGAAGGAAGGCCTACCCTTGCACAAATTACCCATGCATCGGGTCTCTAGTAATAGAATAAAATATAATTCAGCCATGGGAAGAAGGAAACCCTGCCATTTGCAACATGGGCATTATACTAAGTGAAATGAATCAATCAGAGAAAGACAGTATGAGCTGATATCACTTGCATGTGGAATCTAAAATAGCTGAACTCATGAAACTGAGGGTAATTGATGGATACCAGGGGCTTGAGGGTGTGAAGTGAGAAGATGTTGGACAAAGATTACAGACTTCTAGTTATAAGATGAATACATTCTGGGGATCCAATATACAACATAATGATTACAGTTAGTAATACTGTATTGTATACATGAAAGTTACTATGAGAGTAAATATTGTGTTCTCACCACAAAAGAAAAGGGTGATTTAGTGATCTGATAGAGGTATTAACAAATGCTACAATGGTAATCATTTTATAATATATTAATGTATCAAATCAACACTGTTCTTTTTAAACTTATGTGACATTATATGTCAATTATATCTCAATAAATCTGGAAAAAACTTAAACACACACACACACACACACACACACACACACACACACACAGATAAGGGAGTATAGAATAGCTATGGCACCTAACTGAGAAAGTCTGGGTTAATGTGGCGAATGGGTTGGAGCTTGCCAAAGAGCTTGGGAAAAAGAGGAAATTAGAAAAAAATTTTAAAGCATGCTTCATGAGTAAGTCAAGCTGTACCACATGTAGATAAAGAGAACATCCTGAAAAAAAAGTCAAAGTTTAGATTAAGAGAAAATCCGGGGGAAACATTTAAGTTTGTATACAATGTGCTTTTTAATAACTTAAGCTTAAGTAATGAATTCACATGTCATTAAAATAACACCTAGAGGAATATTGTTAATGGGATAATTCTAGGGGGAAAATATATGGGTGACCCCTTAAAGATGAAACAGGCAAGGGACCACATCCTCCAGACGTCCAGAACAAAATGCAGTGTATGGCTGGTTTGTGGAAGGGATGAGATGGAGAAGAAAAATTTCTAGAAGGTATAAATTAAGTGGGAGAACCTCTGATTGATAGGACTTCAAGAAGAGAAAATGGCTACTCAGTCAATGAAGCACAGATGAGTTTAATTCTTTACATGGTAGAGCCTATAAAATGTACAAAGTCCAAAAAGTAAATCCCAAATCTCTATGGGTAAATGTTTTTTTAAATATATTTTATTGATTTTTACAGAGAGGAAGAGAGTCAGAAACATCGATAAGAAAGAATCATCGATCAACTGCCTCTTGCACACCCTCTACTAGAGATGTGCCCTTGACCGGAATCGAACCTGGGACCTTTCAGTCCGCAGGCCGTTGCTCTATCCACTGAGCCAAACTGGTTTCGGCTTTATGGGTAAATATTTACACCAGATATAATTTCTACAGAGTCAAGTTCCTAAAATGCCCATTCTGTGTTAGCTTTCAGTGCATACTTAAGTCTTAGATACGTTTTTGATCTATTGGTCTTAGCACTGAACACAGAGAAAACAGATATTAGTAGATTAACTGCCCTTGCCCCATTCTAAAAAAGTGATTTGACAGTGCTATACCTTCTAATGACAGTAGGGTTAA